TCAACGCAAGTAAAAGAAAGATAAAAGATACGACTTTTGCCCTGTGACTCAACAAGGGTGTGAGAAAGACCAAAATATTTACACATTCTACGTCATCGGAAGAGAAATGCACCATAGCCAATTACTGATGACCTCAGCGAGATGAGTTCATCATAGACCAATGACCATCTCATCCCCCGAAGATTTTGGCGAGATGAACCGACGACGATCTCCGGAAGGACGCGAAGGAACCACCACCCTCGCCAAGAAATCAACCCCACTACAGGAGTAGGAGAAGCTCAATTAGTATTTAAGGCCATACAAAACTAAGAAATTTATCAAAAGTGTTTTAGTCGCGTTTGCCCTAATACCTTGAGGAACTTGTCATGATTGCGCCTGCAAGATTAACAAGTTGGCTTAAGATATTAGAATTATTTTGTTAAGTTTAACAAAAACGGTTTTAAAAGTTATTAAGAGTAGATGCATTAATTACTTTTCTATTGTGATATTGAATGCGGAGGCATTTAATAATTTTAGACTTTGTGAATTGAATGCGGAGGCATTTAAAAATTTACGGACTTGGTGATATTGAATGCAGAGGCATTTAATAATTTTTGGACTTTGTGAATTGAATGCGGAGGCATTTAATAATTTTCGGACTTAGTGATATTGAATGCAGAGACATATAATAATTTTGGACTTAGTGATATTCTGTGCGGACGCACGAATAAGAAAGCTGTGTAAACTCTTAGTGCGATGAAGTAACTCTGACTTTATCAATTTTACTCCTTGTGTACGCGTAGCATAGTTGACTTAGTGACTGTATATATATTTATATATGTTCTTTCCGTGTTCTGTATCTACATACCCATAAATAAAGTAACGGTAGTGTTGAAATTGTGTTAATTCATTTATTCTAACCCTACCCCATTACAAACTGGCGCCTAACCGAGTGACCAGAAACGGAAAAATGGCAGTTACCATGTCAGAAGAAATGTTGCAGCAACTCATGGGAGCGATAAGCGCACAATCTAACACATGGACAGACTTGGTGACCGGCAGCTTTGCCAGGTGCACGGCCAGGTTCAACGGAACGCAAATTCCTGAAAAAGTGAAGGAATTCACTAATACCATCGTCTTGTACAAAGACGTGGAGGGCACCTCGGACGAGAATGCGCTAAAGGGGCTACCACTACTTCTCCAGGACACGGCGGCTACGCGGTGGGAAGAAGTGAAGACGGGGGCCAATACGTTCGACGAGACAATCCACTTGATAAGGACGTCGTTCGCCCCAAGTAAACCCCCGCACAGCGTCTATATAGAATTTTTTGGCACTCGCCAAGAAAAGAAGGTGAGTACCGACCTATTCGTTTGCCAAAAGGGGGCACTGCTAGCGCAGTTGCCCTACGATATCTCGACAGATATACAGCTTGACATGCTCTACGGACTACTGCATATGCGGATCCGTAAACGCATCCCACGGACGACGGTCAATACATTCGATGAGCTGCTTCAAAGAGCTCGCGACGTGGAAGCTAACCTTTCCGAGGCAGAAAAGGGAGGGAGTAATCCGGTGGAAAGACGGAAAATCTGCTCTTTCTGCGGCCACACTGGACCCACGGTCACAGAATGTCGCAAACGCCAAGGGACCAAACAGAGTCCTAAGAAGGAGGAGCCAGAAACTCGCAGCGAAGCGAGAATTTCCTGTTATGGGTGCGGCAAGGCAGGGGTTATCCGCAGCAAGTGCCCGGTCTGCTCTCCTCCAACAACTTCATAGGCAGCAACCACGCAAAGAGTCGGATTCTTTATCCTGACCACACAAGAGCCAGGAAAATGCAGCTACTGCAAGAAGAAGGGTCACTTGAAAGAATTCTGCCCTAGACGCCTGGCTTGGATAAAAAAGCGTGATCTGAGATGGAACCGTCAACCAGGAGAATCCGCGGTTCAAGATCCTTGCTCCAGACCCGTCATTAAAGCACAAATCCAAGGCGTAATGGGTTACGCACTTGTGGACACCGGCGCAGAAAAGAGCATCGCGGGAGAAACGCTATACAAACTACTGCAGTCAACGAACCATCAATTTGAACCGTCAATGATGACAATGACGATGGCTGATGGAGAGTTGAAGCTTCGACCCATATTGAAGACGACAACCATTGTGCGGCTAGAAGACAGACCAGTGCCAACGGAATTTGTCGTGACTCCGGAAGCGAAAGGAAACTACAGCCTGCTAGGCATGGATTTCTTGCACAAAGCCGGTCTTGTGTTAGACATGAAGCACCGCATGTGGAACTTTTCGGACCAGACACAAAAGTGCCCTTTCGCAGCAGAGGATGAAATTTTCGGGACAGTCGAAGTAACACGGTCAGCAGAGCATGTTAATGAGGCTGCCGTGAGCGTTCCGGTACCAACACAAAAAGAAATAGACACGGATGAAACAGATGATCGACAGGTACTAGACGCACTGTTTGATGCCTGTTTTCGCTCAGCTGCGCCAACGGAGAAGAAGGACGAACAGCACACTTTGGATGCATTGTTCGATACCTGTTTTCGCTCGGCTACGATCATCCCTACAATTCACATAGCCTCTTTGAGCGCCAAGGAGCTGTCTGCGCGAAAATGAGGGACATTCAGTCCCAGAAGAAGATCGATGGAAGGTACAGCAGCTACTCTCCAAGAACGGTGATCTCCTCAAGGAAGCATTAATGACCTATCCTGAGGCAGGCAGACGAGATGGAACAATACACCCTGCGAACCGACGCAAGCATCTACGCTCTAGGGGGAGTATTACTGCAAGGAAAAGGCGCCGACGAAAGGCCAGTGGAGTATGCAAGTCGCCTATTGACTCCGGCCGAAAGAAATTATCGCACCACGGAACGCAAAGCACTGAAAAATGCAACAGCTCAAGAATGTGCGAAAACACTAGTGGATGAAGTTTTCTTGCGGTTCGGGTTCCCAAGAAGGCTTATCAGTGACAACGGATTCCAGTTCGTGAGTGCAGTCATGCAGCATACGATGCACTGCCTAGGGATCAAACAGCACCTTATTTCGGTATAACACCCACAAGCCAATCCAGTGGAGAGACGCAACCGCGATCTAAAACCTCATCTAGCTATCTTAGTGGGTGAGAAACACACGACTTGGCCAGGGAAGTTACCTACGATAAGATTCGCGATGAACTCAGCCATATGCAAGAGTACGGGGTATACTCCGGCGTACTTAAATTTGGCGCGCGAACTTCGAACAACAGACGATGTCTACAGAGATCTTATGGCGATCATCGAGAAAGAAAACCCCATATCAGACATCACACCGTATCTACTTAAGATGGCTGACACTTTCAAACAGGTACGAGAGACCCAAGAAAAACATCAAGATATGCGGAAGAAATACGCAGACAAAGAACGGCGGCCTGGTCAAGCATACAGTCAAGGAGACAGAGTACAGGTAGCCAGGCATACGCTGAGCAACGCGAAGAGAGGTTTCACGTCAAAACTCGCTCCACGACGTGACGGACCATATATAATATTACAACAGAGAGGACCGACCAGCTACGAAGTAGGACGCCCTGATAATACAGACGAAATCATAGGCACCTTCCACACATCTGCCTTATCACCTTTCTTAGGTAATGAAAACATCACACCTGAGATTCCGATGAGAAAACGCGGTCGACCCAAGAAGAGGACTACGACCCAATAGAATGTTTTATGTATGGACTCTCCGCCGAGACGACTGTAGGTCCATAGGGGAAGTCTGTAACATTCTATATTTAATAAACAACCATTAGTCAAATAGTAATTAATATTTTTCATAATATATTTGTATAATTTGCCATACGCAAATATTTCGTCAACAACGCACAAAAATACAAATGACGTCACCAAGAGAAAGTTACGCATACAACGATGAACGAAGGGTCTCGCGTGAAAGCACAATGCAGCATACGCTCTGGCATAAGCGCGATAAGGACGGAGGATCCTAGGGCGCTCGATGACCTCAGCGCGTACGAACTAGCACAACGCTAGAGAGAGATGAAAGAGTTGTGTAATTTGCACTAAGCGAGAAGATAACATCTTAAGCCTGTGAGTCAACGCAAGTAAAAGAAAGATAAAAGATACGACTTTTGCCCTGTGACTCAACAAGGGTGTGAGAAAGACCAAAATATTTACACATTTTACGTCATCGGAAGAGAAATGCACCATAGCCTATTACTGATGACCTCAGCGAGATGAGTTCATCATAGACCAATGACCATCTCATCCCCCGAAGATTTTGGCGAGATGAACCGACGACGATCTCCGGAAGGACGCGAAGGAACCATCACCCTCGCCAAGAAATCAACCCCACTACAGGAGTAGGAGAAGCTCAATTAGTATTTAAGGCCATACAAAACTAAGAAATTAGTCAAAAGTGTTTTAGTCGCGTTTGCCCTAATACCTTAAGGAACTTGTCATGATTGCGCCTGCAAGATTAACAAGTTGGCTTAAGATATTAGAATTATTTTGTTAAGTTTAACAAAAACGGTTTTAAAAGTTATTAAGTTTTCTATTGTGATATTGAATGCGGAGGCATTTAATAATTTTAGACTTTGTGAATTGAATGCGGAGGCATTTAAAAATTTACGGACTTAGTGATATTGAATGCAGAGGCATTTAATAATTTTTGGACTTTGTGAATTGAATGCGGAGGCATTTAATAATTTTCGGACTTAGTGATATTGAATGCAGAGACATATAATAATTTTGGACTTAGTGATATTCTGTGCGGACGCACGAATAAGAAAGCTGTGTAAACTCTTAGTGCGATAAAGTAACTCTGACTTTATCAATTTTACTCCTTGTGTACGCGTAGCATAGTTGACTTAGTGACTGTATATATATTTATATATGTTCTTTCCGTGTTCTGTATCTACATACCCATAAATAAAGTAACGGTAGTGTTGAAATTGTGTTAATTCATTTATTCTAACCCTACCCCATTACAAACTGGCGCCCAACCGAGTGGCCAGAAACGGAAAAATGGCAGTTACCATGTCAGAAGAAATGTTGCAGCAACTCATGGGAGCGATAAGCGCACAATCTAACACATGGACAGGCTTGGTGACCGGCAGCTTTGCCAGGTGCACGGCCAGGTTCAACGGAACGCAAATTCCTGAAAAAGTGAAGGAATTCACAACTACCATCGTCTTGTACAAAGACTTGGATGGCACCTCGGACGAGAATGCGCTAAAGGGGCTACCACTACTTCTCCAGGACACGGCGGCTACGTGGTGGGAAGAAGTGAAGACGGGGGCCAATACGTTCGACGAGGCAATCCACTTGATAAGGACGTTGTTCGCCCCAAGTAAACCCCCGCACAGCGTCTATATAGAATTTTTTGGCACTCGCAGAGAAAAGAAGGTGAGTACCGACCTATTCGTTTGCCAAAAGAGGGCACTGCTGGCGGAGTTGCCCTACGATATCTCGACAGATATACAGCTTGACATGCTCTACGGACTACTGCATATGCGGATCCGTAAACGCATCCCACGGACGACGGTCAATACATTCGATGAGCTGCTTCAAAGAGCTCGCGACGTGGAAGCTAACCTTTCCGAGGCAGAAAAGGGAGGGAGTAATCCGGTGGAAAGACGGAAAATCTGCTCTTTCTGCGGCCACACTGGACACACGGTCACAGAATGTCGCAAACGCCAAGGGACCAAACAGAGTCCTAAGAAGGAGGAGCCAGAAACTCGCAGCGAAGCGAGTATTTCCTGTTATGGGTGCGGCAAGGCAGGGGTTATCCGCAGCAAGTGCCCGGTCTGCTCTCCTCCAACAACTTCATAGGCAGCAACCACGCAAAGAGTCGGATTCTTTATCCTGACCACACAAGAGCCAGGAAAATGCAGCTACTGCAAGAAGAAGGGTCACTTGAAAGAATTCTGCCCTAGACGCCTGGCTTGGATAAAAAAGCGTGATCTGAGATGGAACCGTCAACCAGGAGAATCCGCGGTTCAAGATCCTTGCTCCAGACCCGTCATTAAAGCACAAATCCAAGGCGTAATGTGTTACGCACTTGTGGACACCGGCGCAGAAAAGAGCATCGCGGGAGAAACGCTATACAAACTACTGCAGTCAACGAACCATCAATTTGAACCGTCAATGATGACAATGACGATGGCTGATGGAGAGTTGAAGCTTCGACCCATATTGAAGACGACGACCATTGTGCGGCTAGAAGACAGACCAGTGCCAACGGAATTTGTCGTGACTCCGGAAGCGAAAGGAAACTACAGCCTGCTAGGCATGGATTTCTTGCACAAAGCCGGTTTTGTGTTAGATATGAAGTACCGCATGTGGAACTTTTCGGACCAGACACAAAAGTACCCTTTCGCAGCAGAGGATGAAATTTTCGGGACAGTCGAAGTAACACGGTCAGCAGAGCATGTTAATGAGGCTGCCGTGAGCGTTCCGGTACCAACACAAAAAGAAATAGACACGGATGAAACAGATGATCGACAGGTACTAGACGCACTGTTTGATGCCTGTTTTCGCTCAGCTACGCCAACGGAGAAGAAGGACGAACACTTTGGATGCATTGTTCGATACCTGTTTTCGCTCGGCTACGATCATCCCTACAATTCACATAGCCTCTTTGAACGCCAAGGAGCTGAGTCTGCGCGAAAATGAGAGACGCAACCGCGATCTAAAACCTCATCTAGCTATCTTAGTGGGTGAGAAACACACGACTTGGCCAGGGAAGTTACCTGCGATAAGATTCGCGATGAACTCAGCCATATGCAAGAGTACGGGGTATACTCCGGCGTACTTAAATTTGGCGCGCGAACTTCGAACAACAGACGATGTCTACAGAGATCTTATGGCGATCATCGAGAAAGAAAACCCCATACCAGACATCACACCGTATCTACTTAAGATGGCTGACACTTTCAAACAGGTACGAGAGACCCAAGAAAAACATCAAGATATGCGGAAGAAATACGCAGACAAAGAACGGCGGCCTGGTCAAGCATACAGTCAAGGAGACAGAGTATAGGTAGCCACGCATACGCTGAGCAACGCGAAGAGAGGTTTCACGTCAAAACTCGCTCCTCGACGTGACGGACCATATATAATATTACAACAGAGAGGACCGACCAGCTACGAAGTAGGACGCCCTGATAATACAGACGAAATCATAGGCACCTTCCACACATCTGCCTTATCACCTTTCTTAGGTAATGAAAACATCACACCTGAGATTCCGATGAGAAAACGCGGTCGACCCAAGAAGAGGACTACGACCCAATAGAATGTTTTATGTATGGACTCTCCGCCGAGACGACTGTAGGTCCATAGGGGAAGTCTGTAACATTCTATATTTAATAAACAACCATTAGTCAAATAGTAATTAATATTTTTCATAATATATTTGTATAATTTGCCATACGCAAATATTTCGTCAACAACGCACAAAAATACAAATGACGTCACCAAGAGAAAGTTACGCATACAACGATGAACGAAGGGTCTCGCGTGAAAGCACAATGCAGCATACGCTCTGGCATAAGCGCGATAAGGACGGAGGATCCTAGGGCGCTCGATGACCTCAGCGCGTACGAACTAGCACAACGCTAGAGAGAGATGAAAGAGTTGTGTAATTTGCACTAAGCGAGAAGATAACATCTTAAGCCTGTGAGTCAACGCAAGTAAAAGAAAGATAAAAGATACGACTTTTGCCCTGTGACTCAACAAGGGTGTGAGAAAGACCAAAATATTTACACATTTTACGTCATCGGAAGAGAAATGCACCATAGCCTATTACTGATGACCTCAGCGAGATGAGTTCATCATAGACCAATGACCATCTCATCCCCCGAAGATTTTGGCGAGATGAACCGACGACGATCTCCGGAAGGACGCGAAGGAACCATCACCCTCGCCAAGAAATCAACCCCACTACAGGAGTAGGAGAAGCTCAATTAGTATTTAAGGCCATACAAAACTAAGAAATTAGTCAAAAGTGTTTTAGTCGCGTTTGCCCTAATACCTTAAGGAACTTGTCATGATTGCGCCTGCAAGATTAACAAGTTGGCTTAAGATATTAGAATTATTTTGTTAAGTTTAACAAAAACGGTTTTAAAAGTTATTAAGTGTAGATGCATTTAATACTTTTCTATTGTGATATTGAATGCGGAGGCATTTAATAATTTTCGGACTTTGTGAATTGAATGCGGAGGCATTTAATAATTTTCGGACTTAGTGATATTGAATGCAGAGGCATTTAATAATTTTGGACTTAGTGATATTCTGTGCGGACGCACGAATAAGAAAGCTGTGTAAACTCTTAGTGCGATAAAGTAACTCTGACTTCATCAATTTTACTCCTTGTGTACGCGTAGCATAGTTGACTTAGTGACTGTATATATATTTATATATGTTCTTTCCGTGTTCTGTACCTACATACCCATAAATAAAGTGACGGTAGTGTTGAAATTGTGTTAATTCATTTATTCTAACCCTACCCCATTACAAAATCAAATATATAGTGCAAGTGATTAAATTTAATAATATTATAAATTTCAAGTAAATAGTTTATAAAATCAAAATTAAAATTAATAAATTCAAGTGAGTTATTAAATTAAGATCAAATTAATAGAATGAGAAAGATTAAATTTAATAATAAAATAAATAAATGAATAAAATTCAGTGATTGAATTTAATAAAATCACAAATCAAATTACTAAATTCAAAAGAATAATACTATTTCCATTATAAAATTTTATTAATAATAAATCAAATTATTAAATAAAATAAATAAATTAAACAACAAGTGTCAACACCGTGTGGACGGAGCAACCGAACGGAACAGCTGAGATTCTTCTACGCAGATTCTACGTGATATCGGTAATCGTTTAGATGAATTAAATACTTTAAACTAGCTGTAAGTGGAATTCTGTCTTGAGGCAATTATGGCATCGTGCCTTAAGGCAAATTGCTGGAACTTCCCGCACCGTAACGAAATGTTCGAGGTATACTGAATGTTTTCAAATGTAACATTGTGTAATATTTATAAGAATTATATAAACTGAATTGCAGAGTTGAAATTATTTCTAAAGTATATTAGAACTATAGTCAGAATTAAAAATAAAATCTGAAATATTTTCGATATACAAAATACTAAAAAAAAAAAAAAAAAAGAAGACAAAAAAAAAATTGGAACAAAATTTTTTTTTTCAAAATCAATTATTTTGTTAAGACAAGCAGAAAGTTCTTTGAATCATTTAAATCGGACGCTTAGTTCTCTCAAAAACTGCCATTTTTTACATATTTAGCTCCGTATCTTCGAAATGGCTGGGCCTGCCTTTGCCAAAAACTAATAAACACTTCTCCCAATCATTACTAATTGAATGTTTTTTAGATCATTCAAATCGGATACTCCGTTCGCTCAAAAATTCGATTTCTATTTTCTGCACTCTTTGCTCCGTATCTCCGAAACGGCTGGACCTGCCTTTGCCAAAAACTAATCAGCTCTTTTCCCAATCAATAGGAATCGAATGTTTTTTGAACCATTCAAATCGGTTGATCCGTGCGCCCTAAAACGTGACTGGAAATTTGTATCCACACATACATACACACACACACACACATACACACACACACACACACACACACATCCATTTTTTCTGAGGTATGCCAAAACGTTCAGAAACCTTCAAAACGTCGAGAAATGTAAAAATTTTCAATTCCGATTTTCGGCCCATTACAATAACTTACCCTACGGGAAGTTAATAAAGATTATGAAAACGTAATAATTAATTTAATTACTATCAATGACGACGAGGTGGAATGGAATAAGTTATGTGAGATCGATCTCTCCGAAGTCATTGATACTTGTGATCGATTAAAAGAAATTTTAAATTCTTTAATTAATAAAATACCACAATCGGAGTCAAGCAGCTCGATTGCAAGCGAGCAATCACACGGTTTTGAAAATAATATTAAGCTTCCAAATATAGCGCTACCAACATTCGATGGCGCTTATAGTAATTGGTTGCAATTTTACAATTCTTTTACCGCATTAATACGAGGTCTGTTCAAAAAGTACCCGGAATTTTCGTTTTTTCAAAAAAATATTTATTTATTCGTCTACATTAATGTGGTCCCCTTCAAAGTAGTCCCCCCCAGATATAATACACTTATGCCAGCGTTTTTTCCAATTTTCGAAGCACCCTTGATATTCACTTTTTGATATGTCCTTGAGCACTCTCAGCGATTTTCTTCAATCGAGGAAAACCGCCGTCCTTTCATGGGTCTCTTCAACTTTGGGAATAGGAAAAAGTCACACGGAGCCATATCTGGTGAATATGGAGGTTGGGGCATGACTACGGTATTGTTTTTGGCCAAAAAATTACGAACAAGCAACGACGAGTGAGGAATTTTGGAATGAATTTTGCTGCCACTCGTTTCATGCCCAAACATTTGAAAAAATGTTATGACATGAGCCAATTGATATGCCAACTTCATCAGCAACTTCTCTAATTGTGATTCGGCGATCATTCATAACCATTTTTTCCACTTCTTTCACATTTTCATCGTTTGTTGACGTGCTGGGTCGACCATCTTGGAAACGCTTATACCACTCGTAAACACTTGTTTTTTTCATAGCAGACTCACCATAGGCTTTTTGTAACATTTCACATACTTTGTTACACTTTATTTCATTTTTTACGCAAAATTTAATACAAATTCTTTGACTTTTCAATTCTTCCATTGTAAAAATCGCCGAGCTCAGAAAACACGTCGAACCTTAGCGACTACCACAGACAAAGTAAACAGTGAATATA